CACTGGTACGACAATTTCAAGGCAGACCGTGTACAGACGCTTAGGGCAGATTGGTCTATATGCTCGTAGACCTGTCAGATGCGTTCCACTTACTGCAACTCACTGTCGCCTGCGGTTAGCCTGGAGTAGAGAGCATGCATTGTGGACACCGCAACAGTGGGCTTGTGTGATGTTTTCCGACGAGTCCAGGTTTTTTAGCTTGCAGTCTGATTCTCGCCGGACTTTCATATGGAGAGCTCCAGGTACCCGTTACCACCAAGAAAACATCATTGAATGACATCGTTACGGTGGTGCAGGAGTGCTCGTTTGAGGTGGAATTATTCTGGGTTCCAGAACTGACCTGCATGTTCAAATTGGAACCATGACAAGCCAAATCTATCAGGTAGTCATTCTGGAACAATATGTACGTTTGTTTTGGGGCGCCATGGGCGCACAATTTGTGTTTATGGATGACAACGCCCGTCCTCACCGTGCAAACATCGTAAGCGAATGCCTTCAATCGGAGGATATCACCCGTATGGACTGGCCAGCATTCTCACCGGACTTGAATCCAGTAGAGCACGTGTGGGACATACTTGGCCGACGAGTTGCAGCCCGTCAACCTCCTCCTACATGTCTACCGGAACTTCGGAGAGCATTGCTTTTTGAGTGGTGTAATATCCCCCAAGATCAGATCGATAATTTGATACTCAGCATGCCTAGGCGTTGTACGGACTGTATTGCATCGTCTGGGAGACATACAATGTATTAACAATCATACCAACCATGTAATATTGGTTTTTTGTAAATAGGTTTTTTTTTTTTTTGTAATTTGCTCCAGGAGAAAAAAATCGCTAATTTTTTTAATAATATCAAACATATAGCATCTTTTTTGCTCTTTACCTTTTGTTTAATAAATAAGCTTTACAAATAAGTCAAATTTGTTTTGCTTCTAACACTTCCTTTGCCTGATTTTGCATTATCCTTAATTTATGGACGTGAGTGTATTTAACGAAAAAATTTTGAAAAGTCTCATTGGATCCAAAAATGTGACGTGACTACCGCTATACTTATTATTGTTGATCATCTGAAAATTTTATCAGCTGATTTAAAGATTTTATATAACTTAAAATAAATTGATTTTCCAACTTGGCTGATGCAGCCAATGCAAGTGGATTTGGCTGATATTTCAAATATGCAGTAAAAAGAAGAACTCGCATAAATGCAAAATGATGGGTCAATTAAAACGTTATTTAATATAAAAGGAGCGATGACATAGCTTTGTGAGGAAAGCAGAATCAGTTATCCAAATGCAACAAAATTTGCAAGAGAACTAGTGTTACCGTTTCCATCTTCATATTTTGCTCAATGCAGATTTAGTGCCATAAATGATTTGCTGGTTTAAAAAAAAATCGGCTGGATATAATGAAACCGGGAGATTTGAGACTCAAGTTATCTAAATTGGAACCTAACATAAAATTTCTTTGTAGCAAGTATCAAGCACAAGGAACTCTCTAAATTTAAATAATAAAAATTACTAATGCTTAAAATAAAAAAACTTTCACTTCTTGAATTTCAGTTCTCCATGTTTTGAAAGTTCACTTGTGTTTGCTCACAAAATTTCGTAGTCATTTCTTCCTAAAAGCTATCATTCAAGTTTCTTTCGTGAATATTTCAATTTTTAAATATTAAAAATTATGTATATTCTAGGGGGAGCATACAAACTTTAAAGAGGATTGGGTGGAACATAGCACAAAAGAGGTTGGGAAACACTGGTTTAGGCAAATGTTTACAGCAATTAAGAGAATTGCAGGGAAAGAGTGATATCAATGGTGCAGCATAGATATGCTAAAGTGACTTGTTTTAAAATTAAAATTAGGACTTTAAAGGACTATTGCCAGTTTGTTCTAATTAAATTTCATTTGTTAATATATTTCTATCATATTTTTATCTCTTACACATACAATACAATGAAATTATTGCATTCCTTTTTTTAACACTTTTTTCATTACAAAGAATTTTTCCCTTTCCCATGAGCATACCAAGGAGATACAACCACCACAGGTCCTCTGATTAGGAGGGAACTCCAAAGAACTTAAGTTTTTAAGTATATGTATATGTAGAAATATAAAAAGGGAGAAAATTAAAATGCGATCTGCATTAAAGTTTATTGTAGAAATCAGGGTTAGAGTAGAGAGAAGGGTAACCCTTGTATTATCGCAAAGTTGGGTACTTACGTATTAACACAACCAGGCCAAAATTCGCATAAATTGCCAAATTCAGCGACCCTACTTACGGCAACCCGGTTCAATCCTAGTATCCGGTGTACACGGGATTTGGCTACTATTGGCGACTTTATGATGAGCAGTTAAAACGGGACATATACAGTGTATAGTATATAGACATTCTTTGGATCATTTTTGGTGTTGGCGATAATTTTCAAAATCGCGCCAAGGCTGCACCGTATACTAGGATTTTACTGGCAACCCTACGTGTTATACGTAGTTTTGTAAAAAGAGCATGTGGAGATTCACAAAATTTTCCTGCATTTTTGTGCAAATTTTTGTAATTTATGAGAAAATAGCAGTGTACATGGATAAAGTCAAGAGTGCGTGCAATGCCATTTTTGTGCAAAATAAAAAAACATTTGTGCAAAATGTTTTTTTAAGTAAAAATAAGTCGACATGTACATGGTTATGGCGAATACGGTTTTCAATCAGTGCTAAAAGCAATAGCCAAAAGATTTCCGCCGAAAAAATAATTCTGCAACTTATTCAAATTCGAAACCAGAAGGGTTTAATTGCTATTTTATATTTTAAAACAAAATAATACAAAAAACTGTATTAAAAATTATCTGTAATTAATAAATGTAAATTTTCTTTCTATTCATACTTTTTTACTCAAACTTACAAATAGCGCCAACCTGGTTGCAATAATACGTAAGTACCCCAAGTTGTTTCATTTATCGGCAAGTGGTGGTTTATTTATGGTAGCCTGAGTAGTTTAATGTTATGGAAACCCCTATTATGACGTAATCAGTTGCATGATTACGGTGAATTTGTAAGGGCTTGTCGTGTGTGTTGGTTAGGAAGTACATTGTTTGTTTTCTGGTTTAGACGGTAAAATGGCTGAATGTGGTATGATTAAATCGAAATTTCTATACGATTTGGAAAGAAAGGGAAAAGAGCATTACTTGACTGGTGTGTAAATGAAGGTTAAATGAAGTCATTATTACGTGTCCTGTTCGTAGCAAGGAAATGCGTATGATAGGACAATACGGCATTACGGAGGATATTTTTTACACTTATGTGGCAACGTCAGTATACAGATTCTTGTTCAGATAATTTTAGGAAGTTTTTGGATGCTGTTAAGGAAATTTTGTTTGACTGAAGACGTGTTAATTCGTAAATAAGGTAAGTAAATATTTCCTTTGTGTAGAGCGAAGATGAATTTCCTTTTTTATGATATTTCATTGTTTGATTTAAAATGTAGTTTACTGAGATTATATATTTTTTGTTCGCTGCTTCTTTGACTTTTTAAGTGAATTATAGTTCGATGTGTACATGGACAAAGTCAAGGGAGTGCGCAATGCCTAGTTTGTGCAATTCTCTGATTTCTTTTTAAGTGAAAATAGGTCGATGTGTACATGGATTAAGTCAAGGGAGTGTGCAATGCCAAGTTTGTGAAATTTTGGGACTTTTTAAGTGAAACTAGGTCGATGTGTACATGAATACTGGGTTTGTTCAATTCTTTATCTTGTTATTTTGGCTTTGTGTAGCGGCGATTTTTTATTTGGCGTAAAAATCGCCTCTTCACAAACCAAAATAACAAGGCAAAGAATTTCACAAACTCGGTATCCATGTACTGCCAAAAATTGCCAATTTTCGCCAAGGGGTACCCGTAAATATACTTTTACCGAAATCAGTTCTTAACACACATTTGGCACTAAATACTTTTTTGATAGCGTGTGTTTGAACTGCTTCTTGTGGCAGAAGCTTTTCATAGTGGAAGCCGATTAAATGCTATTTTCAATCAACAACAAGCAAAGATTTCATGGTTGGGCAATCCTTTCCAACTAAAAATGCAGTTACTACAGACATTAATTTTGAAGAAGCTATGAAAAGTATCAGATGTTAAAGCTTACACAAAATAAAACGGTTTTAACTTTTTTTATTTATACAAAAGTTTAAAATATATTTTTAAATCATAAAAAAAGGGCTGATTAATAAACTTTTTATAAATACAAGCTTCTCTGCTAGATGCAAGTTGATTTTTCTTTAGTCTTAAGATGCTTTGTCTTCCAAAACATTTTAACTATTTAATTCTAGTTAAAACAATTTCAATTATATATTTGTGCTGATATTTTTATATGGTAATCATTCCAATAAGGGGGGTGAGGCTAGGGAGATTTCCGGCACGGGCCTCCATAGCTATAGGTCGGCTATTGCCCTCCTTCCCCCCCCCGGATGACAAAGCCCTATACATTTTCCATAAAAAAAACATTCACAAATTAATTGTAGAGCATACTTTAGACGCTTAAAAACGTTCTATTTATAAAAAGCTCGTTTTTTTTCAATTCTTTGAGGACTACAACTGCTTTTTCATAAAGGTAACAAAGTTACACTTGGAAAAATAAACTTTAATTTTATATACGAGTTTTCTCAAATACCTTCATAAATTCACTACGTGTGTGAAATGGAATCATAAGTCAACAGGTTTATTGAAATATCTGCCGTAGAATTCTTCAAACAAATTAAAATGAAACCGGAATAGTTTCTGGGTAATACAGAGATGAAATATCCAAAGAAAAAGTAGCTCAGGTACACTATGTGGCAAAACAATGCCGAAAGAACAATTCAGTAGTGCTTACCAACCAAATGCAAAAATTAGCGCGTACGAAAATGATAAAAATCTAAAAAATTATGCAACAAAATCATATATTAAAAAAGAGTAACTTAAATAAGCTAATTTCAGTAAAAAACAATATTTATGTATCATTATACATTTCAGCAGAAACTTACATGCCTCAAGAATATGAAAGACAAATCCCTATTCCATTATTCAAAGGGGGGTAGAAATGTAAACAATGGCGAATTCACAGTTAATGACAAAGTTAATAGCTTCTTTGTTACTTTTTCATTAACATCCATTTAATTTTCGTAGTTATTGTCACTGGTCGTTCCCTTCTGACATAAACTCGCATAATTTTCGATATGTGTTCAATTTATAACGTTTAATTTCTTCATTACAGTATTTATTTTTTCAAGCTCTAAAATTTACCTAAAAGTTGTAAATAAAAATTAAAAGCTACGATACAGAGCCGCAACATCATTAAAAGCATTCAAGAGCAGCGCCAAGTAGAACAAGTAGAACTGCTTGTGAAAAACAAAACAAAAAAAAAAAAAAAATTCAGCTTTAAGCGAATAAGTGCTGAGAGGAGAGATTCATCAGCTGCTGTGTAAACAATTTAATGAACATTATATAACATTACAGAACCGATTCAAGAATGGCTGCTGTGTGGAAGGTTATCAAAAACTGCATTTTGAAGTAAATTATAGAAGCTTATTTCCATTGTAGTTACATGAGAATTTTAATCTGAAATAATACTTTCACAAGCATATGGCATTCGAACCTGGGTCAACTACCACTGTTTATTTATCTTGTTGCTCGGTCCTTAGTGGGTAGGAGGGCAAAAATTGAGAAATTAAATAATATACCATTAAAATTTAATAAAATATAAGAAAATAAGTTTGAATCGATTAAGTACAAATATTTGAGCAATGAATAAAAATACCAGAACTCATATTATTGTAGCTCTGGCTGAATTTAAGGCCTTATAACTAAGGTCACCCATATATGGCGCTTTAAACGGCAGGTATTCTGAACATTGTTTCCGAGACATCTCCCTGTCGTCCCACAGTTTTGCTAAAACTGGTCACTTTGTTCCGCTTTTAATAAAAACTGTAAATATATGTAAGTGTTATGTTGTAATTTAACTGTAAATGTATGTAAATGTTAAGCAATTATAAATTATTATTCCTACTCGCATTCGCATATTAGCTTGATACTAGTGACATAAATGCCAACATAACTATGGAGCTGGATTGTTCTATTAGTATTGATATCTGCAGTCTTCAAAAAATTAAAAAAGTTATAAGACAGTAAAATGCAACTGGAATAAAAAGAACATTCGCATATCTAACAAATGGGCACAGATTTTTTCTTGAAGTAAGAACATATTGATACTGAAACATTTCTAAGCACAGGAAAGATATATTCTAGTATGAGGTGTTCGTGAGCAAAGGACAAATTTAGGTTAAACAAAGAAATTTTAAAAGTTATGCTACACTGAGATACAAAGCTGTGTTGTGAAATGTGCGAAATTTTATGATAATATGCAGGAATATCAAAATGCTATGCAAAAATATTTTCTGTCATTTTTCTTTGTTATGATTAACTCTCGTCCTGCTTGTGCTATCAGTTTTTGATTTACAGAAATATAGTCAGCCTGTTTATATCTTTCTTTCCACAGATGAGTTTAAATATAGTGTATTTTAATTTTAATTAAACGACACTGTAGATATATAAAATTAAAATTTCTCTATAAACATTTGTTAATGAAAGTTCTATGGTCTGGTTTTTAATTTTTGGAGATTCAACCTTTTGAACAAATTACGAAATTCCTAACTAAATGTGACTATGGCATGCAAAAATTGGTAACTTGTATATTGCATGTAGTACAGTATTTATATTTTATTACAGAAAAAAAGGGGGGAATTTTACTACAGAATTTAAAATCATGAATCTGCTTTTACCAAATCTAGTGCTTCGAAAGGTTTTACTATAATCTGTGAAAGTCGTAGGGATTATATTTCCATTACTGAGATGCAATTTGTCTTTTGGCATGTTTATCTTTTGGCATTATCTTGCGCAAATAGTTATAACCAGGAATGTATTTTAAAACGCAGCCTCTTTAAAAGTCAAAGGTTTGGATTTAGTTAATTATGGCAAAGCACACTAGGGATATCTGCCTAAGGTAAGGGATGCCTTCGTGGAGGACTTTGTAGTAGAAACTAGCTCGCATACACGTTACACATGGGGAACACTACGAAAACGCTCATGCAGCCATGTTCACCTAGGATCGAACCCAGGTCGGAATTACCAGTGTTTAGCGATTTTAACGCTCGGCCATTTATTGGTTATAAACTTAAAGCTTCCATAGAGTTAGTCTGATGCATGTATGGCATGGTATCAAATGAAGCAAATTAAACACATTTAACTGCAACATTTTATGGAGACAGTACCTTTTTCCCTTCTCTTTTGATTATTTAGCTTTTTTTCCCTCCTTTTCCTTTGATCTGCGCCTTCGTAATTCCAATAATTCCCAACTTAACATACAAAAGCGTTGCCAGAACTCAAATATCATTTTCCTTCCTAAACCATTTCCCTTTATTCGCTCCACTGCTGCACGAGTACGCTCGAAATCGAAACCGCAGCTTATCAGTAGCGAGCGCGGGAAAAATTCTCAGACTTCTAGGTCGCCGGTTCTATCCCCGCTAGTAGCTTTCATAAACTCTGCTCTGCACGGATTTATTTTCTTAATGTCTCTATAAAGTTAACTTCAGGTTTTCCAACTCATAGTAAATTTGAAGCCAATAAAATTCATTTAGTAACTTTGGCTGACTCTCGACCTTGTAACACGTGTGTGTTCATCGCTCCACGAGATCGAATTAGTTAAGCCTTGTGAGTGCGTTCGCGCCATTTCGCCTCGTGGTTTTTTGGACTGCTCGGTTTAACGGTGTTCCTCTTCGGATGTGCTTGTGTTTTGCTATAATCCTATGTGATAGTGTTTAGTGATTCCCCTGTCTACGGTGTGTATTTGCAATGGAGGGAAATGAGTTTCCTGCATCCAGTTCTACAAATATTGGAATTATGAAGGCGGCGGATCACTGCCATGTGCCTGAACTAATAGCTGCTATGATTAAATACGGACACTCCTCATTAGATTGCAACGTGGAATCTCTGCTTAGTAAGGACAGCTTCACTCCGGAGGATTTAGTTCGAGCTCTTCATGTTAAGGCCACTATTGAAACGGAACTTAACGCTCAAGGTGCTGCTATTGCCCGCATGATGAAAAGGGTGAAAATACTGATACTGAGAAGGAAATGCAACAGGATTTCGACAACTATCGTGCCGTCGCTGAAGGACTCTGCAGAATAATTCAAGGTAAGTGTGAGTTTTTCGGTGCCAATAATCCAAATGTTAATATCCTTGATACTGTTTTTTGTGCTGCTATGCAAAATCAAACAACTAATATTAGTAGTAATGTTAATGATTGTGATGTTGTATACTTGAATGAGAATGTTGATAATGGTAACAACAAACCCCTTAAGCCAAAACGGCCTTCTAAAAAAATTGCTAAAAGATCGATAAACGACTTCAGAGACAGGACGGCTTTATTCAGCCGCGAAATACGTCTCGCCCCTCAAAATTAGTTAAAGCAAACATTGATGTAGTTATTAGTAATAAATTTGAAAAATTGTCAATTGATGATAATGATGTTAATATTGATAATGAAAATGCAATGGAAATTTCCACTGAGTCTGGAAATGAGGCAGTTGAACCTCCGAGAATTAAACCTTCAATGGTTAAACCAGAAGCCAAATTTTCAGACTTTGTTAAAGTGCTTAAAAATGATAACAAATGTGAATTTACAAGCAAAATTAGTGGTGAATTCTTAAACGTTTTTCCGAAAACGGAAGATGATCACCGTATTATTATTAGTTATATGAATGAGCGTAAAGTTGACTATTATATAATTACTGCCAAATTTGAAAGGCCAGTAAAGGTGGCCATACGAGGCCTTCCGATTGACTGCCCGTCGGAAGAAATAAGAGAGGAGCTTAATGCATTAGGATTCAAAATAAAAAAGGTGGCGCAGATGCATCGCTTAAAAACACGAGCCCCCATGCCCCTTTTCCAGGCGCAGGTGGAGAATTTTCCAGGAGTGAATAAGATTTATGAAACTAACTTGTTTATGGGTTTTTATGTTAAAATTCATGCCTATGAAACAAAAGGAGGTGTTGTGCAGTGTCACAACTGCCAAAACTTCCACCACTCATCAGACGTATGTAAACTACAGCCGCGCTGTGTTAAGTGCGCTGGCTCACATCGAACAGAGAATTGTTCAGCTAAAAGACGATATTTTAAAGTGCTGCAACTGTTTACAGCAAGGACATACTTCAAATTATCGTGGTTGCCCGAAATTCCCGGTGCTAAATAAAAATGGCAAAGCTAATGCTGATTTTCATTCTAAGCCACTCCTAAAAAATGTTGCAAATAATGATAAAATTGAAGGTAATAGTAATGTAAACTCGTATGCAAATGTGTTAAAAAATGGTAAAAGTATCCTTAGTAAGCCTCAAACCGAGAATTATATGAATGTATTAACTGATATAATTAAATTTGTCAAAGAAATTGCAAATGTTTTTAAAGGATTGTCTATAATGAGTATTCTGAAAAAAAAAATAGCGAGTAAAATGCCTGAGATACAGGCTATTGACAATGCCATCGATAAGCTGTTTATATTATTTGAAATTTTCGAAGGTATATTTGGTTCTCTCAATAATGATAAATAATGGCTGTAAATGTATATAATCATGTCAATATCTTTACATGGAACGTCAATGGACTGGCTCCCAGAATTCATGAGGTTCGGGACTTCGTAAATAAGTACATACCCGATCTGTTTTTCCTACAAGAACACAGACTTAGACCTAATCACCCAATTTATGTGCCAAATTACACGGTTTTCCGATCTGACAGGAGGCATGTCTCTGGGCACAGCACGCATGGTGGAACAGCTCTTCTAGTTAAACGCTGCATCCCTCACTATGAGATTACAATACCACAGCTTTTAGCCGTAGAGGCCACAGCTATTGCACTCACTACAAACACTTCCACGACATACATTTTTATCTCCACCTATATCCCACCCTCACGTGATTCCTCAGCTGTTAAAGCTGATCTCAACACTCTACTTGCACTTGGACAACATGTCATTATAGGTGGAGACTTAAACGCTAGACACCGCGCATGGAACTGCTACAACTCAAACACAACTGGACGCGTAATTTATGACTTAACCAGCTCGGCAGCATTACGCATAGCAGCTCCTAAAACCCCAACACGGTATGCTACTCGCTCTTCTAGCATTATTGACTTCTGGCTAAAAAATGCTAGCGATCCACTGGATATTACTGTTTTTGACGAGCTCTCATCGGACCATAACCCGGTAAGAGCCATTATGAATATCAGCAGCTATACCACACCAGACACCAGAGCCTTTAGCC